TTTTTAAAAATACCTTTTTGCTTTTCATCCCTAATTTTTTTTACTAAAAGCATTCATTACTTTTATAACACAAAAAAATATTTAAAGAGGTATTACTGCAAACTGGGCAATTACTGGTCAGGGGTTGGCTGGCTGACTCAGCATGACAAGGAGGATGGTGAAGAAGAGATATATAATTCAGAAGCTGGACTCACAGAACAGGGTGACAAGTATACAAAAGGGGCATTTATTCTCTCATGTAAAAACCTGGCTTTGGTACTAGACAGGTAAGTGCCATTTAGACAAACAGAACAGAGGAGTAAGGTTAACAAAACTGGGTTTAAGTAAACGTGTGGAGGTGATGAGTTCGGTGTAAAACTTACTGGGTTTAGAGGTGCCTTCATGAGACACTCAAACCTGGTGTGGAGATGAAAAGGCACCAGAGCAGATTTAGGAGTCATCAGCATCTATGTGGTAGTTGAATCCATAAAGAAAAAAAGGGCAGCAGAAAGAACCCCGAAGATCAATGTCAGTGAGTAGAAGAGACTGAGAGAGAGGGGATAAAAACAGAAGTGGGGAATGGGGTTCAGGAAAGCCAAAGGAAAAGAGAGTTTTAAATAAGAGAGGGTGACAAACAGCAGCAAATGCCATAGGATGGACAGGTTTTGAAGGCAAAAATGTATTGAAATGTGACTTTAGGACAAAGCTGAGGGGTAAAAATGGAAATCAGATTTCAGAAAGGTGATCAGCAAATAAGAAAAGGAAATAAAGATTATTTGTTCAAGAAGCTTTGTTTAACAGAATGTGTTCGCTTCTCTGAATATAGAAGCTTTATTAGATGCTCAGGGATAGATCCACCACCGACTCAAAAAAAAATTCCTGTCTTTAAGTCTGTTTGTACTCAATTATAGCATTTTTATATCAAATAGAAATATTAAGTGCTCAGTAAGTACAAGCTATTTGTCCAGCATTGTCCTCGATGCTAAAATATTAATATTTATCTAATCATCACACTGCTGTGAAGTAGGTGTTATTACCATCCCTCACAAATGAGACAACTAAGGTACAAGTTCACATAATTAGTAGTGTGGTAGGTCAAAGTGAAAACTGGACTCAAGAAAATATGAGGGGTATATACAAACACAATGAATGAGATGTGCAACGTCTGGGGGATGGTCACGCTTGAGGCTCTAACTGGGGGAGGGGGCAATGGCAATATACATAACCCTAACATTTATACCCCCATAATATGCTAAAAGAAAAAAAAAGAGAAAAATCTAAAAAAAAAAAAAAACAAAAAGGGAAATATGAGGGAAGGAAGGAAATGTGACAAAGGTTAAAGATGAGAACTGTGGACAGTTAAGATTGTTCTGACTGATTGTTTAACCGGTTGCAGTTTAATTTTTATCTAAGAACTTATTTTTGTTCATTTGAAAGACAATTTGTCCTCTCTCATCTCAGAATCCTACACTGCTAGAGCCTGACATTTTTATATCTATTATGACACTCAGATTCTACACTGCATTATAATTGTGTCATTTCTCCTACTGAATTGCAGGTTGCTTGAAAATGGGGCTGTATCTTATTTATCTTTGTATCTCTAATACTCTAGTCTTTAAAGTCGAAGATATTCAACAAGGGTTTGTTGTATGAATAATTATTTTGGCTTTTCTAAAGTTTCTGGGGCTTCAGTCAAATATTTTTCAAGTCTAACTGCTGTATAGGACTACTATGTTTCAAATGTTTATTTTCAGGACACTTTTGAATCAAATTACTGATTTTGGTGAATATCCTTCTAAAGTAAAAGTTAAATATAATTCTCCTAAATAAAACCTTTTAAAAGTTCCTATCATCCGCTGGTCATTTTCCATAGCACAGTTCTCCACTCTTATCATTAACGTAACCCACCCAGGTCCAACTCTACCAAACCACCTGTAATTCCTAATTCTTCTCAACTGTATGTTCTGCAGAATGCACCAGCTGCCTGGTGAACTGCTCCTCTGTCAAGACACAGCTGAAATCCTCTTTTCTAAAGCCTTCCTTTATTTGCCTTTTTTTTTTTCTGGCTCTCTCCCTTACTACACTGTAAATTTCCTAAATACAAATTTCTCAAGGCAATACTCATCTTTTATCCTCAGGACTGGCAAGTGCAGCTTACTAAGTGTTTAATAAATGTTTATTAGAAGAATAAATTATTAAAGTATAATTCAGTAAATCTGTTGGTACTATATAAAATAATATTGGCCCACCATCAAAAGCACAATTCTAGGTTGTTTCCCATTACCAATAATGAATGGTGCACTTCTCTAGCTCATCCCATGAACTCAGGAATTCAAGATAACTTGTACCTTCATTACCAGCTAATCATATCATTACCAAAGACATAAAACAAACCCACATAGTATCAAAACCTCTTTGTCAAGAGCAAATCATCAAATCAATCAGGCATGCTCACAGTTACTGTGAAAGACATGAAAAAACTTCAAAAGCTTTGAAATTGTTCCAATTTAAACATGTGAAATGAATTAAAAACACAATTCTGGGGCAGTGTCTTTTCATCTTCTTATTATCTCTAGGTGCATACTACATGCAAGGCACTCAAATGTCTACTTTTATAAAACATGTGCCATCGCCAGCTTTGGCAAAAGAACAAACTATGTCAGGTTTTAGGAGATAGATCCCAAGTATAGAACTTGATGTTGTGATGTACTTAAAGCCTCTGGCAAACAATGTGAAATAGCAACATTTCAGTTGTCTCATATATTTGCCTCAGCATGCTTAGAACATAATGTGCTTTAACAAGTCTTGTCACAAGGCACAATGTGTTATGAGGAGATCTTCACATTTCATCCTAGAATAACTAAGTCTTTGCAGTTATCTTCAAGCTACTTCACCCATGTTACTTAATCTAAGGGCTTTATTATCTTCACTGTACAGATGGGGAAAGAGAAGGAAAGAAAGGGCATAAAATGACTTGGCTGAAAAGGCCCTGCCAGGCACTAAAAGAGCCTTCATTTTAACTATCAGTTCCTAATCCTCTTCTCAAGGAACCATTTTATTTGAGAAACTTTCATTGACAGCAGGCAGAACAGAATGTCAAATTAGCTATTAGCTTTTCTTTCTTGTTTACTTTGCATGAATAGCCTAAATTTCCTACACTTACAGGATGATAGCGCTAAGATAAAAGATTTACTAGAGTAAGTTGTGCCCACTGGATCCAAGTTCATAACTCTGCCTCTAACTTCTAAATTTCAAGATAGCTTGAGCTAAACTTTAAAGGTATTTCTTTTCTTTCCAGATCTCTAATTCTCTGCAGGTTTTATTCAGTCTCCTAAATCTGTCAGGTCATACAGACTTTTCCAGTTCCTGATCAAATTATAAGGCTGCCAGAATTTTCTTCTACCCCACAGTAAGCCAATCCCTCCTGAGCCATCAAGGGGTCCAGGGCATCCATCATTCACAGCCAACTCTAGACCTAGGCTCTACTTTGAATCGCTAGGTGAGTCCAGCAATTTCAAAGTTCAAGAAGTCCCCACCCTTACACTCTGAACCATGCTCTCAGGAGTGCCTCTTCTTAATCCTTAACTTATTACAGGGTCCAGATAAGGGAAATCTCAATTCTCTCAGATTCAACAAGAACTTTATCAGCGTTACTGGTGATGACGGTTTGGCATTTGCAACTATGGACCTGAAATGGCCCGTAACCTAAAGATTCCCGTATTGTACGTGCCAAAAGCAAATTATTTAGCAGATTTCTTTAGGCCCAAGTGATTTGCCTCATTGGTCGTGTAGCACAGGCTCAAGAGGGGTGCAGGGAGCTCACAATCTGGTTTACTGTAGTTGACTACACAATTCCAATCCAAAGTATTTTCACACATGCCTGCTTCTTGGATGATGTAAATTCTTCCCCTAGACTTTTAATGAGACCACTATCGGGGTTCTCTTCCCCTGCAGCGGTCACGGGCCACCCAATAACTCATTTTAACGACTGCCTCTCGCCACTGGCACTAACAAATCGCCCAACACCGCACGCCCCAACAGCCTCTGCTAAAGAGACACTGCAGACCCACGCTGGCCATGCCCGCCGCCCCCGCGTCTCCGCGTCGCTCGTCATCCCACGCCAGGCGCCTCCCTCGCTGCAGCCCGGAGAGGGTTTGGGGCTCCCTGGGCCGGAGCCCTCCCGTGGGCGCCGCGCCGCGAACACCGGCGGGAGCCCTCCACGAGCTGGCACCTACCTCCCACCTCCTCCTGCAGGCGCCGCCCGGGTCAACGCACGCCCGCAGCGCCAACGGCCCCAACGGCGTGCGGAGCCTCCCGCCGAGCAGCGGGGCGCCGAGCCAGGTGCCGGCGCTCACCTCCGCGCCCGCCCCCGCCCCCCGCCCGCCGGCCCTGCTCGCCCTCCTCGCCCCTGCTCTCCCCCTCCCGGCCGGGCGCGTCACAATCCCCGTCGCGGGGCGAAGCTGCTCACCGTCACGGCCCCCGGGAGCGGCGGGGAGTCACCGCTCGGCGTCCTAGCCCGGCTCCCGCAGCCCCGAGGGCCCGCACAGGCGCGGCGGGACGCAGCGCCTCGCGCCGGCGGCCCCTCCTCCGCCGCGGGCTCCCGCCTTCCCCGCCCCCGGCCGGGCTCCGCCCCGCCCCTCGCGGCCGCCTCCCGGCCTCGCAGGTTCCCACCCCGCCCCCGCGCGCCGGCGCCGCGGGCCCGGCCGCCTCCCATTGGCTCCGCCAGTTGCTAGGCGATGAACAACCGCGGCCTGCATTGGTCGGGTGGGGGCCTGCGGAGTCTCCTCCTCACCTCCAAAAACACCCGGAGAAAAGGAAAAGCTTATCCCCGGAGTCCGAGTGCGCTGCGGGCGCAGCTGCGGCTGCGGCACCTGTTACGCCCTGTGATTCACCCGGCCGGGCCTGCTCCCCGCCCCCTCCTGACGCCTGCAGCGTTCGGGGCCCAGGGCTCTGCGGGGGCGGGGTGGGTTGGCGCTGCTTTACAGTACGTGCGCTGAGCCCCACTGAACCCCAACACCCGTCCTGGGAGCAAAGCTGAAGCTCCCGGAGGAGCCACGTGCGTTTGCCAAAGTGGAGAACTAAACCAAACAGCAAGCACCCAGAATTAGGTCAGGCCCAACGGAAGGGAGGTTCTAGCGTCGGGAATCGGGGATGCAGAGGACCCACGCGGGAGAAAGTTACATGTAGAATTAGGGCAAAGAAATGGACTTGGCAGACGACAGCAGGCAAAGGAAAAACGGTTAGAAATGGCACTCGTGAACTAGAAGTTTATGCAAAAATGTCCCACACCCACTCAGCAAAATATGTGCAAAGAAAATGTATGCCTGCTGCACCGTGGCCAGGGTCAGGCCGGCTCCTCCCCCGTTCTCTGTCAGCCTAAAATTCTCCAGGGAAGGAAAGAGGCCAGAGAAAGGAAAGAGATCAGATGGAGAAATCACAGGCATATGAGTTGGGTTATAAACACAAAGGTGTACTTTGAAGCTTCCTCCCCAAGGGATTTTCTAAAGGAGAAAAACAGATCTGGCATTTTTAGGAGGTTCCTGGGAGCACTTTGAAACTAAAACTGTGTGGGAGGAGAACGAGAAAAGAGAGGGAGGAATGCACTTCTCTTGATTTACATGCAGGTATCTCCAATCCTGGAAAATGGGCACGCCATGGTGACAACTTCCAGGCCCAAGGAAATCTTCTTTGGCCTGAGTGATCAGAAGGCCCCACTGGATGCTGCTGACCATGGGTGACTGACAGCCAAACAACCCAGTTAGGGCCCCACATTGTAAGGACACTTTTAGCTTTCAGCGCTGGGCCGGTGGCTAGGGAGAAAACGTTACTGCCAATGCTTACCTTGCTCCCTAACTCAGACTACTGTTGGAGAATCAGGGATTATCCCTGCTCCCAAGAGGAGTTTTGAAATTTCAATTGTCCACCCGCCAAAATACCACACCTCTTCCTGTCTCTAAAACAAACAATATGACAGTTTTTCTTTGAAATACCACTTAAGGCTTCATTTTGACCATTTCACCTCCAAGAGTCAAAAAGGGAGAGCTCATTCTTTGGTTAGCTAGAAGAGTTAAGATCAATCAATTCAATAGCAACATCTGGCCCACCCTGTTGCGATCTTACCACTATCATATTTTTAAAAGGTTTGGGTCAAGCTGAGGAGAGCTCTGGAAAGTTTAATCCCATCCCTAGCAGCCTTAGGGATGAATCAGATCTGTCTGAATAAACCAGTGGTTCTCAATCTTTTGGTCTCAGGATCCTTTTCTACTCATAAAATTATTGAGGGCCCTAAAGAGCTTTTGTTTATATGGGTTATATCTGTTGATATTTATTAGACTAGAAATTAATACTGAGAAATTTAAAAATATTATTTAAAAAACATAATCATAAATAACAAAAATGACTTATCACAAATGGCACATTTTTATATTTCCAAGAAAGTAGAAAGAATGGTATTACTTTAAAATTTTGTACATATCTTTAATGCTCAGCTTCATAGAAGGAATTCAGACTTTCATATCTGCTTCTACATTCACACTGTTGCACTATTTCAGTAGCCTCTGGAAAACTCCACTATACACTCATGAGAGACAAAGTGAAAAAGGCAAGTGACATCCTGGTAGTATAATAAAAAATAGTTTTGACCTTGCAGAGTCCCTGAAAGGGTCTTGGGGACACCACCTCCCAGCCCCTGAGTTTTGCAGATTATATTTTGAGAACCACTGGTCTAAATCTGTCTTGGTATTCTGTCCCTCTTTGTCAGTGACTGGCTGGAGAGGCTGAGCATGTGACCTAATTCTGGTCAGTACATGATGTGAAGTGGGGAGTGGGGAGCTTGAGAGAAAGGGTTTTATCCTGACAGTCCATAGGGAGAAGTCTTTTCCTGCTTGCCTTGGCCATCTTCCATATGTTTGGAGCTACAGTGGCATATCCTAAAACCATGAGAGAAAAGCAAGAAAAATACAGGCATACCCATTTTATTATGGTTTGCTTTATTGCACTTCGCTGATACTGGATTTTTTTACAAATTGAAGGTTTGTGGCAACCTTAGATCAAGTAAGACTGTCCAAACCATTTTACCAACAGCATGTGCTCATTTTTTGTCTCTGTGTGACATTTTGGTAATTCTTGCAATATTTTTAAAACTTTTTTCATTTTTATTATATATGTTATAGTGTTCTGTGATCAGTGATCTTTGATATTCCTATTGTAATTGTTTGGGGATGCCACAAACCATACCCTGATAAGACAGAGAACTGTTGTGTGTGTCCTGACCGCTCCACTGACTGACCAGTCCTCCGTCTCTCTGTTCTCAGGCCTCCCTATTCTCTGAGACAATGATATTGAAATCAGGTCAATCAATAACTCTACAGTGGCCATTAATAGTTTAAGGGAAGGAAAGAGTCACATGTCTCTCACTCTAAATCAAAAGCTATAAATGATGAAGCTTAGTGAGGAAGGCACGTCCAAAGTCAAGACAGGTCAAAAGATAGGCTTCGAGGGGAGAGGGAAGCAAAGGCAATATACGTAACCTAAACATTTGTACCCCCATAATATGCTGAAATAAAAAAAGATAGGCTTCTCATGCCAAACAGCCAAGTTGTGAATGCAAAGGAAAAGTTCCTGAAGAAAATTAAAAGTGATACCCCCTTGAACAGATGCATGACAAAAAAGCAGAACAATCTTATTGCTCATATGGAGAAAGTTTCAGTGGTCTGGATAGATGATCAAACAAGCCAAAACATTCCCTTAAGCCAAAGCCTACCCAGAGCAAGGCCCTAACTATGCAATTCTGTGAAGGCTAAGAGAGGTGAGAAAGCTGCAGAAGAAAAGCTTCAAGCTGGCGGAGTTTGGTTCAAGAGGTTTGAGGAGAGAAGTCATCTGCATAACATAAAAGTGTAAGGTGAAGCCCCAAGTGCCAATGTAGAAGCTGCAGCAAGTTATCCAGAAGATCTAGCTAAGATAATTAATGAAGCTGGCTACACAAAACAACAGATTCAACGTAGACAAAACAGCCTTCTACTGGAAGAAGATGCCATCTAGGACTTTCATAGCTAGAGAGAAGTCAATGCCTGGCTTCAAAGCTTCAAAGGACAGGCTGACTCTCTTGTTAGGGGATAATGGTGCTGGTGACTTTAAGTTAGAGACAATGCTCATTTACCATTCAAAAAAAACTAGGGCTCCTAAAAATTATGCCAAATTGACTCTGCCTTTGCTCTGTAAATGGAAAAACAAAGCCTAGATGACAGCATATCTGTTTTCATCATGGTTTACTGAATATTTTAAGCCTACTGTTGAGACCTGCTGCTCAGAAAAAGAGATTCCTTTAAAAATATTACTGCCCATTGACAATGTACCTGGTCACCCAAGAGTTCTTACTGATGGAGATGTGCAAGGAGATTAATGTTGTTTCCATCACTGCTACCACAACATCCTTTCTGCAGCCAATGGATCAAGGAGTAATTTTGAGTTTCAAGCCTTAATATTTGAAAAATATTTTCTTTTTTTGAAACAGGTTCAGAAGGTAGAGAAATGCATTTCATAAGGCTGTATCTTCCATAGATAGTGATTCCTCTGATGGATCTGAGCAAAGTAAATTGAAAACCTTCTGGAAATAATTCACTATTCTAAATGCCATTAAGAACATTCATGATTTGGGGGAGGAGGTTAAAACACCAACATTAACAGGAGTTTAGAAGAGATTGATTCCATACCTCATGGATGACTTTGAGGAGTTCAAGACTTCTATGGAGGAATTCACTGCAGAGGTGGTGAAAATAGCAAGAGAACTAGAATTAGAGGTAAAGTCTGAAGCTGTGAGTGACTTACAGTGATCTCACGATAAACCTTGAACAGATGAGGAGTTGATTCTTATGGATGAGCAAAGAAAGTGGTGTGTTAAGATGGAATCTACTCCTGGTGAAGATGCTGCAAACATCGTTCAAATGACAACAAAGGATTTAGGACATTCCATAAACTTAGTTGATAAAGCAGTGGCAGGTGTTTGAGAGGATTGCTTCCAATTTTGAAAAAAGTTCTGTGGATAAAAGGCTATCAAATTATCACATACAGCAGAGATATCTTTTGTGAAAGGAAGAGTCAGTTGATGTGGCAAACTTTATTGTTTTAAGAAATTGCCACAGTCACCCCAACTTTCAGCAGCTACCACCCTGATCAGTCAGCAGCCATCAACATCAGGACAAGACTCTCTACCAGGAGAGAGTCCAATGATCATTAGCATATTTTAGCAAAAAAAGTATTTTTAAATTAATGTTTGTACATTTTTTAGACATGTTATTGCACACTAACAGACTACAGTATAGTATAAACATAACTTTGACACACATAGGGAAACCAAAATATTGTGTGACTCACTTTATTGCACTATTTGCTTTATTGTAGTGATCTGAAACCAAACCTGCAATATCTCCAAGGTATGGCTATAGAAAAAAGGCCACCCAGAACCCAGATGTCACTGAGTGGCTAAGTTAACCTACCCTGGCTCTGCATCTCTCTAGACTACTCATCATATGAGAGAGTAAATGGCCTATTGCTTAAGCCATTTTGGGTCAGGTATTCAGTCACTTGCAACCAAGAAGATCCTGTCTGATATAGAGGACAAAATAAACAATTTAGCTTCAGCCTGAAATAGTCTCAGGACGTTTTTAGCCCAGAATTAAAAGAAATTGGATTTAATAGAACTTTGCATGGTAACGAAAGATAAAGAGGAAAGATGTGATTTGGAATGTTTTTTTTTAAAAAATGCTTTACTCTTTGGCTGCTTTTCCTTCTTGTTCAAAATTAAGGGGAGGTGACTACAAAGTGCTTTGCTGCTGCTGCTGTTGTAGTTGCCTAAAACACATCAAAACTTCCACCTCTGCTCCTCTATAGTCTATTTATATCATAGTGGTCAGAGAAATTCTTTTAAAACAAGTCAGACCATGTCACTCCTCTGCTTTGCCTCACCTCATTCAGTGTTCAAGCCAAAATTCTTACCATGGCTACAATGTTCTTATGGCCTGCC